AAAAAAAAATTTATTATTCACGCGATTTTTATTTAATTCATTTAATATTTCAGACTTTTAAATGAGCTTTTTGACTTTTTTTTTTTTTTTACTAATAGTAGTAATAATAATAATAATAAGTACTTATTTACTCGGTACGAAAGTACGAAGTATTCGTTTAAAACGTGTATAACCTAAACTTTTAACTTCTTCACTTTTTTCCCGTCTAAAATGTTCCCATTCTTTTTTAACGCTCGGATCACTTGGACCCCATTCGTCACTCGGATGCAAAGAATGTTTTATTGTTTCCCAAATTGTCGATTGTGGTCTTTTATACATGTTATATATTGCCCAAAAGGGTAACTGTATGATACCGACGGTTAATAAAACCCATCCGCACCCTGTAAAAAAAATTTAAATAGTTTATCACACGTGTAATTGCAATTCTTATTATTTTTGAATTCGATTGTTGGTAGCACTTACCGTAGGCAGCATCCGGATACACGTAATCTCCGTAAGTTAATGGAGAAGCAATTGCTAGTGAATAAATTAAAATAACAACCATTGTTATAGGGGTGAATATTCCCCAACACCACCTCCAATACATTCCAACTTTTATATTTAACATAAATTCAACGTCGTTACATAAATTTTCCAAACCTGGAAATGAATGATAATAATTAATAATATTTTTCCTTTATTTCCGGTTATACGGATTTTAAATATTCGTTATAATAATAATAATAATTTTTCTATTTTTTTTTCCAAAGTCATTTTTTTTCTTTTGTTTTTATTGTGACGTAATAACGATCACATAACCTTTGCGATATTTAATTACGTTAGCGGTTGAGTAATGAAAGAAAACATAAATTATTTAGTATTATTATTATTATTATTATTATTACCGTAAATCCAACTTATTCCGATAATTTCAAACGATGCGAGAATAAATATATTAAATGATACGGCAAAATAATCTACCAAATTGAGCATGTATTGGCCACCCTAAATAATAAACAAAAAAGAAAATTTTTTTTTAGAGTTTTGTTATTTGTTTATGACGTGTATATAGAAAACAAACAAAATTCTTTTACCGGTGTTACATATAATAAACCCAATAGAAATCCAACAACCGTTGTTACCACAGCCGCCTTCCAATATTTTAAACCTGGAAATTGATCTGTGAATATTGTTATAATGGCTCCGTAAACAGACACGGACGATCCTACTCCGAGTACAAACAACATAAAAAAGAACATGACCGAAAAAAACTAATGAAAGAAAAGAAAAAAATCCCTCATTTAATTTTTTTTTTTTTTTTAAATAAAAACAAAAGCGATGAAGCAAATCATCGTACCTGAGGAACAACTTCAAATTTTGCAATAGCATCGGGATATGATATAAAAGCTAAACCAGATCCTCCTTTAGTAACGCTCGCAATATCGTTTGTACCTGATTCGTAAGCCAAATTTCCTAATATTCCAAATATCGTAACACCAGCCATAAGACTTGTTGCCGTATCTAATGACGTCACGATCATGGCATCCCTTAAACAAATCAAACAATCATAAAAAAAAAAAAAATTCACGATTATACGTACAAACCATATACAACACAAACTCACCGATAAATATTGTGGCGAAAATCATTATACGATGAATACGTAATTAATGCTCCAAAACAAACAGTCAATGAAAAAAAAGCCTGTGTCACTGCTGCATACCAAACCTATTTAATATTAAATCATTCCATTAAAATTTTATTTAAAAAAAAACAATAAACTAATATTTAATTAATTATTTTTTTTATTTTGATAAATTTTATGTATATATTGATTATGAATTTGTTTGATTGATAAACAAACAACAACAGCGTGAGTCGAGGAAATATGTAACAACCTCCATTAAAAAAAAAAGTAAAAATTTTAAAGAGAATAAAAATGGCGAATTATGCAAGTTAGTTAGTTTATGTATCTAATAATAATCTCATTACAGTTAGTGACTATATAATGACAAAATAATAGTGATAGTAAAAATGATGACGTAATTCATTGCTTTCCTCTTTGTATTTACATTCACGTTAACATTTTCGCGAAAGTTATTAAAACGTTTTTTTTATTTGCTTTTGATGATGATGAAAAGTAAAAACTAAAAAAAAAAAAATTTACTTTTGGATTTAATAGTTCCGACCATTGAGGCGTTATAAAAAATATAATTCCATCCAAAGCTCCGGGTAGTGTGCATCCACGTATCAAAAGTGATATAAGTACGACGTAGGGAAACAATGCGAGAAAATAAGCAACTTTTCCGCTACTTTTAACTCCTCTTATAACTACTAACATGATGAGAAACCAAGTCAATGCCAAACAAAGAGTTAATTTCCAATCTGGTAAACCGATACCATCATCGATATGATCCTTTTCGTGAAGGACTTCTTTTCTATTTTTTTTAAAAAAAAATAAAAATGTATAGTGTGCACTTTGTTGTGTTTGTTTGTTTGTTTGTCATTCGGACATTTTAAACTCACAAAAAATATAATTCCGAAGAACTTCGAAGTCCGGTAAGATTTCTTGTCGTGTCATTAGATTTTCCTACCGAATCGAAACAATCTTCCCATTCCGGATTACATCTTGTCCATGGCAATTCCGACGAGAAGGAAGCGATTAAATAAAAAAGCGTTATCGCCATAATTGCACAATAGTAAGTTAAGGTAGCTACGTTACCTATTATTTGTCCATATCCTACACCTAAATAAATTCGAAAAAAAAAATATTATTAAACCTTTTCGGTTTTTTTTAATATTTATATAAAAAAAAAACGACAGGAAATAAATAATTAGTTCCGTTATGTGCGTGAGTGTGAGTGCGTGTGCGTGCGTGTGTATACATTAATAACTATGTAAACTTTTAAAAGGATGAAAAAAAAAAAAAAGAACAAAGTCAGTCAAGATGGGTGAATGATGGGTAACTCGGTTAACAGGTTTTTACTCATTGTGTTGTACCACTCAAACTCTTTTAAGGCATCCGAAAAATTCAGCCTAATGTTAAATATAAGTACCAAGGTCATGTCCACAATTTATATTATTATATTCAATGTACGGATAATTATTCTGTCCACTTACATACCCACCTTTTAAAATGGGTACGCACTCCCATATTTTAACGCAACCTTTACTCGTGAATTGTCCCATAACCATTTCCATATAATACAAAGGCCTTCCCACGATAACCAACGTTATTATGTAAGGTATCAAAAAAGCTCCACCTCCGTTTTCGTAGGCTGTAAATGGAAACCTCCAAATGTTTCCAAGTCCGACGGACATAGCAATGCAACTCATAAGAAATTCTAAACTGTTTCCCCATTGCTGCCTTTCTTTGGTATTATTCTTAAAGAAAAAAAAACCTTTTTCCGTTAGGTTCGAATAAATAAAACAAAATAAAACAAAACCATAAAAATTATCATAATCGTACCTGATTGATCGATTCGGGATCTTGATTTTTTTCAACTAAATTATTTGAATTTGGAGCATTACT